TGTTCCAGTGCCTCACCACTCGTTCAGGAAAGAACTTCCTCCGAATATCCAATCTAAACTTACCCTGACGCAACTTGAGGCCATTTCCCTTTGTCCTGTCATTAGTAATTAGAGAGAAGAGACCAGCACCAGCCTCACTACAGCCTCCTTTTAGGTAGTTGTAGAGGGCAATAAGGTCTCCTCTCAGCCTCCTCTTCTCCAGACTAAACAACCCCAGGTCCCTCAGCTGCTCCTCTTCACTCTTGTTCTCCAGACCTTTCCCCAGCTTTGTTGCCCTTCTCTGGACCCACTCCAGCACTTCAATACCCTTCTTGTTTTGAAGGGCCCCAAACTGCACACAATACTCAAGCTGTGGCCTCATCAGTGCTGAGTACAGGGGCACATCCTTATGTGGTCCCTTGACATCCCTGTGTGGTCCCCCAGGAGGCATTATACGTGGTTCATGGCTTCAAGCTGGACCAGGAGGAGGGGCAATCCCAGCTTGTCCCCTTTGCTGCCGCTCAGTTCTGATGCTTCTCTCTCAGTGCTGATGTTTCTCTCTCCTCTTGTGGCAGCTAAAGGTGGCCGGGACGATGTGCAGGGAAGCAGCAGGATCCTGTGACCTCCCTGAATACTGCACGGGTGCTTCACCCTACTGCCCGGCCAACGTGTACCTGCTGGATGGCTCCTCCTGCGCCTATGGCGAGGCTTACTGCAACAACGGCATGTGCATGACCCACCACCAGCAGTGTGTCCAGCTCTGGGGACCAGGTGAGTCCCACCAGGCTCCTTGCCATCCCCTCTCCAAAACAGGAGGCTCGCTGGGTCTGCACAGGGGGTTTCAAGGGTAGTGGGTGGAGGGGGTATGCTGTCCTCACCCAGGGTTTGGGTTTGTGTCCATGGGACTGGTGTGGAGGGCTGGGGATGCTCTGCATGCTCACTCACAGGTCCCTGGTCCTCTGCTGTGCCCATCCACCCATTCCCTGTGGCTCCCATACCGCATACAACCCATACGTTACATATAGACCCCATGCTGCGCGTGACTCCATATGGTTCAAGTGACCTCCACACTACAGGGCAGCCTGTATTTTCCCCCTTGTGCTCAGCACTGGTGAGGCTGCACCTCAAATCTTGTGTTCAGTTCTGGACCCTTCATGAGAAGAAAGACACTGAGGTGCTGGAGAGGGTCCAGAGAAAGGCAATGAAGCTGGAGAAGACTCTGGAGAACAAGTCTGATGAGGAGCAGCTGAGGGACCTGGGGTTGTTCAGACAGGAGAAGAGGAGGCTGAGGAGAGACCTTCTTACTCTCCACAACTACCTGAAAGGAGGTTGTAGAGAGGTGGAGTCAGTCTCTTCTCCCTAGTAGCTAGTGACAGGACAAGAGGAAATGACCTCAGATTGCTCCAGGCGGGTTTTAGGTTGGGTATTAGAAGGAACTTCTTCACTGAAGGGGTTATCAAGCACTGGCATGGACTGCCTAGGGCAGTGGTGGAGTCACCATCCCTGGAGATGTTTAAAAGACAAGTAGATATCATGCTTAGGGACATGGTTTAGCACCTGATTTGGTAGGGCTGGGTTGATGGATAGACTTGATGATCTTAAAGGTCTTTTCCAGCCAAAACTATTCTATGATTCTACATACCACGTAAGGTTTCAGCACTGCATAGTGCTCATACACTGTATATACGGTATCCTCAGTTACTTGGCCCATATTCTGCATGTCCCCATCCCATATGGGACCATTCCTCCCTCTCTGCAGGTGCCTGGCCAGCCCCGGACGCCTGTTTCCAGGACGTGAACATGGCCGGCAACACCTACGGCAACTGCGGCAAAGACAGCCAAGGACGCTATGTCAAATGCGACAAGAGGTGGGTGCAGCACTGGCACCCATGGGTGCCCTATTTCCTCCTCCTGCACCCACGGCCCCACCACTGCCCACCCCTGCAGGGTCCTGCCTCAACCTTCTGCCATCACTCCTCAGGCCAGCTCCATTTTGGGCCTCAGGAAGACACCAGGTCCTTCCTTCCCACAGTATCACCTCCCAGCCTGAAGGGAAAATCAACGACAGAAAATCATCAGGAGATGCTATTTAGGGAGCGTGTGCTCTCCAGTATTCTCAGTTAGACCAGGGATGCTCCCTCCAGCATGACTGTTCCCTCCAGCATTTCTCTGTGCTGTCCATGATTTATCTAAGTTCTTCGTGAACTTGCTGAGCCTCTTCCCATCACCATGGCCATGAAACTTTTTCCCTGTGAGGGTGCCAGAGCCCTGGCACAGGCTGCCCAGAGAGGTTGTGGAGTCTCCTTCTCTGGAGACCCACCTTGACACGTTCCGGTGTGACCTACTCTGGATGATCCCGCTCTTGCAGGAGGGTTGGACTAGATGATATTTTGAGGTCCATTCGAACCCTGAACGTGCTGTGATTCTGTGCTTTTATGATTCTGTGATTCAGAGGGAGGTGAGCCAGCAGGCAGTGGGGCAAGGGGTGATGGGGCAAGGAGGCTGAGGTGGCCGCTGCCCACATCTCCTGCCTTGCTCCTAGGGATGCTATGTGTGGCAAGATCCAGTGCCAGAGCTCAGCTAAGAAGCCCCAGGGGACCAACACTGTGTCCATTGATACCACCATCCGTTTCAACGGGCGGGAGGTGAAGTGCCGAGGCACCTACATGTACACCGCGAAGGACGATGAGGAAGACCTCTCTGACCCTGGGCTGGTGATGACGGGGACGAAATGTGGAGATGGGATGGTGAGTACTTCTTCCTAGGGCTGGAGTCTTCTACAAGAGATCATCTCCTTGTCTTTTATCCTAGCTCCAACGTGGACATTGTCTCTTTTCTGTGGTACAGCTGGGACAGCTGTTCAGAGGAGGCCACAAAGATGATCCAGAGGCTGGAGCACCTCTGCTATGAGGACAGGCTGCAGGAGCTGGCGTTGTTCAGTATAAGGGGGACCTTAAAACTGCCTTCTAATAACTGAAGAGAACCTACAGGAAGGCTGAGGAGGGACTTTTGACAAAAGGTTCCACCGATAGGATAGGGGGAAATGGATTTAAGTTAAACAGATTTAGATTAGATCTTAGGAAGAAATTCTTCAGTCCAAGGGTGGCAAGAATTTGAATAAATTGCCCAGAGATGTTGTGGCTGCCCCCTCCCTGGAGATGTTCAAGGCCAGGTTGGATAAGGCCGTGAACAACCTGGGCTGATTAAGGGTGTCCCTGCCCATGGCAGGGGTTGGATTAGATGATTGCTACGACTCTATGATTCTATGACACGGTTTCCTCCACGCTTGCAGATGTCACCCTGGTGACCTCTCAGCCAGGGGTATTTCTAGACAGCACCAGATGCTTATGATGTAGATTCATCTCTCTGGCCTCCATGCTTCTTTACTGATTTAATGCATAGTGGAGCAACCCCAACAAGAATTAAAATCATAGAATCATAGAAACAAGGTTGAAAAAGACCTCTAAGATCATCTAGTCCAACCGTCAACCCAACTCTACATGCCCCAGGACTCGATGGACGAGGCTTCCTCCTGTGAGTGAACTGTTTGCCAGGGGAAGGCTGCGTTAGGAATCAAGACGACAGATCCAAGCAGATGCTACTAACTGAGCATCAGGCTCTTACAGCCTCTGCATCTCCAGGTACTTCACAGAGGCTCAGTTCAGCTCGGAAAGAGCAGGAGCCTGGTAGGAGAACATGGTAGCAGGGATGAACGCCACACAGAGTTGCTGTCCAGATATGGTGTTTGCTAGTTGGCATTTGAGTGGTGAAATTTTCATCTCAGCTTGGGATTGGAGACCAAACATGTTGGCATTTTCACAAGAAAGGATGACTGGCTTTGAAATCTAGTGCAGTTTGCTTTTTTTTTTTGGCTAGTGCCAGCATTTTAGGGCCAGATGGAAAAGGCCTTCTCCAGGAGCTGCCAGGTGGATTTTCGGGGGAAGGAGGTGGGAGTGGTGGTGACTGGTCTCTGCTGAGCTCTCCTGGATGGGGGAATGGCAGAGGTTTCCTCAGCTGTGCTGAAAGCTGGAGTGAAATACAATGACCTAGAACAACACAATTTAACCAACCTGCATTTTCCAATGGACGACATCCTTCTAGAGGGCTCCCATCTTGTGAAGCAGAAGATCACCATCCTCTCTCTCTCAGGACTTTAACCTCAGCTTCTTGGCTCTCTTTCAGGTTTGCAAAGATCGCCGGTGCCAGAATGCCTCCCTTTTTGAGCTGGAAAAGTGTGTTTCCCGGTGCAATGGCCATGGGGTGAGTTGTTGCCCGAGATCTACAGCAGGTTCCAGAGATGAGCGCAACTTCTTAAGCGAAACCGAGTGTCTCCCACAGGGGTGAGCCTTGCAACACAGCGGGCATCTGCTTTTCATAACTCTCTCATGAATCAGCTACGGGTGAGCCCGAGCTGAGAACTTTCCTTACCCATGTCCAAGTTAGAGGAAGAAGATTGTTTGTGATGTAAGGGCCATCTGCAAAATTTGGATCAGGGTCCAGTTTGAACTGGAGAATGTTTAGAGCTCGGAGCAGGTGCCTGTTCCCTCTGAGAGAAAAGCAAGAGTCAGAAACACAACTGGGGCTGCAAAAAGGCAGGGCAGTGGATCAGCAGATAGAAAGAGTCACTCTTGTCCAAAGCTTAAAGGCTACAAAGATTTGACCTCTGGAGAATGGCAAGGCTTTGTCAGAGAAAGCAACAATGCTGTGGTTGAAAGGGAAGATCCCAAGGGGAAGATGTTTTAACAAACTTCTGGCCTAACACAAAATGTTAAGGGCGTTAGGCTTGTCTAGTCAAGCGCTGTGAAGACTGAAGGCGTAAGGTCTCTCTCTTCAAGGCTTCTGCAAAGACTTGTAGAATAGAGTCATCAAATGGGTTGAATTGGAAGGGACCTGAACGATCATCTTGTTCCACCCCACTGCCCTGGGCAGAAACACCTCCCACCAGCCCTCCACCCGGCCCTGGGGCACTCCCGGGGGGGGGCTGCCACAGCTGCTCTGGGCAACCTGGGCCAGTAAGAGAAGGGAAACAAAAGCACCAGCAAGAAAATATCTCTGTACATCACAGTCACAGATTTGAGAGCAACACAGATGCGATCAAATTGATGTTCAAGGGGTGAATGTTGGAGATGGTTAAACTCCGTCAGCTGGGATCCCTGCCATTGGTGCTTATCCCCACCATACAGAGCATCGTTTCCACATGTCCCTCATGATCTCCAACCCTTCTTCTCTCTCTGCAGGTCTGCAACAGCAACAAGAACTGCCACTGCGATGCCGGCTGGGGTCCCCCCCACTGTGGGGAGCCTGGCTTGGGGGGCAGC